AGAATCGAGGGGTTGTGATAATGGTATCAAATAAAGTAAAATATGAAGAAATATACAAAATGGTAGATAAAAGAGGAAGATTCCTCTTCTTAATTTGTAACCTAAATGATAAGAAATACTCTCTTTTAAATGTCTATTCACCCAATAAGAGGCAAATTCATTTCTTAAATTGGACCTTTCTATGTATGGGGGATTTCAATTGTGTTGCAGATCCTTCCATGGATAGAAGGGTACAAAAAGGAAAGATATTGGACCCAGCGTCTAATAGCTTAGCTAGGACTTTCCAAGAGACTATCGCAAAATTTAAACTCTATGATGTTTGCACATTCTAAACCCATTGGAATTAGACTTTACATACTTCTCGAAGCAATATAAATCTTACTCAAGACTAGACATGTTTTTAACCACAGCACATGCCCTAAAAACCTGTCTGAAAAGCACAATAGCTTCCTTCGCATGGTCCGACCATGAACCTCTTATTCTAACCATTAAAACCTCCTATATAATGGAAAGGAACCAATGGAAAATTAAAGATTTTCTGCTGGAAAGTCCTAATAATTACAATGAACTAAATGAGAGATCAGAGAGCTATTTTAAAGAGAACTGGAATAAAGAAATAGACACCACAACTGGTTGGTGTGCCTATAAATGCGTGATTCGAGGTCAATTAATAAAAATGGAAAGTCAAAATAGAAGGAACGATCATAAAAAAAATCTCAGATTTGTATGTTGACTTGTATAAATTAAATGTAAAAAACAAAATAAACCCGAATTTAGAAACAACAAACCAAATAAATGTAATCAACGCAGCGATTAAGGAACAGCTGATACTAAGAGCAAACAGGTTAATGGTGAGATTTAAACAGAAATGTTATTATCTCGGAAATAGAGCAGATAAATTACTAAAAAATCAAGTAAGGAAAGAACACGCTAAAACTAGGATTAATAAAATCACCACGGAGAAAGGGGTAGCCCTAAGTCCTAAGGACATAGGTAAAGCTTTTCTGGGTTACTATTCCACATTGTATAACATTCCAAAGGATAAGCAAAATGATTTAGAAATTAAAGCGGCACTGTCATGCCGAACTTACCTTTCCTCAATCTCTTCCTCTTCTCCCCCTCTCTCAGGATCTGTTATTCATTTCTTCCTGTCTTCTTTAGTTTTCTTTAAAAACATAAGACAAAGTAGGGACTCTTTGCCTTATGGAGGATTCCTCCGCTTGACCAGCTCTGACCAGCGGAGGAGCAAAGTGTGCTTCATTTCCGCTGGTCAGAGCAATTTTCCCATGATCCCTAGCTTCCCTCAGTGTTCCCACAATGCTTCCTGTCACTTTCCACAAAACTGCCGAATTGCGTTCTAACTGAATGAGAACAGTCTGTTCGTTTCTTTTAGAACGCAATTCGGCACTTTATTCGGATCGGAATTTCATTCTAATGAATGAAACTCTGATCCTATTCATTGCTGTGGCTGCATCTTGCAGCCGCTTAGTAGATAACTCCCTAATTCCCACGGTATCAGGGAGCTATCTACTAAAAGGCTGAAAGACCTAAATTGGTCTTTCAGCCACATTTACTAATACTAAGTAAAGATTACTTAGTATTAGTAAATTAATATGCCCCTACTCGCTATAC